GGTTAAATCATCTGGACATGATTTAACCTGAAGCACTGTGGCCTCTGTCCTCACGCTGTTTCTGTGAGTAGCACGTGGGTCACCTAAAACATTGGATTGTTATTGAGGACAGTAGTTTTGGATGGATGTGCACGTGTTACAAGTCTACTTGTGACATTCCAACAGGAGGTCGTCTTGAACCACAGCAGTGACGGCTACCTATGGGACAGGCCGTGGACCGAAGAAGTCCTCTGGATGGGGACAAAATGTCTGACTTACAGAAACCGGTCCAGATGACTCCATTGAACTGGTTTATTTGTCACTGGTTAATGAACTGGTTTATTTGTCACTGGTTATTTCTGTTCCAACCATGAACCCGAGACGTGCTGTTAAACACATGCACGCCTGCGTGGATCAAGTCCTCCGTACCTCTGTGTCCTCGTCCACCATGACCCGGAGGCAGCGTGAAGAGTTGGTGCACGGCATTTAGAGCAGGCAGTGACGCATTTATTGCTGCTCACCCTGTTCACACTCACTACGGTCGTCTTTCCACGAGTGTGTGTTCGCCTGAAACACCTGGTTCATTTGAACTCGTTTAGTGAGTGAGGATTCAAACAGTCCAGGGTTCAGAGCAGGAGCGCCTCCTCCTGGACTAAAACCATCATCAGAGACCGAGTCACAATCATGGACAACGATCTTTAAACAGCGCCACTAATGCACACAGTAAAACATCGTGAGAGTCTCGGTAGCTTCCTGCTGAGCTTTGGCTGTTATGGACAGAGGACAACGTACCAACGCTTGGACCTTTCACTGGTACTCAGACGTCAACCTGACCTTTGACCCAGAGACTTTGAAATGAAGGGGTCCGCAACAAGAATCACACGACAAAAAACAATCACCGCGTCATTTCCTCCAACATACCTCCATGTGGTGTGTAGCTGCTGAAAGTTCTTGGAGTTTCCTGTGAAGATGAAGAACGTCAGGACCGCAAAGGACAGCCAGAAGACGACAGAGCGTCCGTCTTACCTCTTCTTCCCAGTCGTCCATGTTTTCATTAACCTGAATGAAAAAGAACCAAAGTTAGACTCAAACCAGACCCAAGTGAATTCTTTCATCAACGTCTTGGAGCAGAAAAATATTTGCACTTCTTGTTTTTTACACTTCTCAAAGGTTTTTACTGCAAGAGGAGCGTAAAGATAACTACAAAGTTCCTGCTGAAACTGACAGGGACTGACCATTGATTATTAAATTATCATCAATAAGATATATTACCATGAATGATAATCAATATTAATAATAAATATAAATTATTAATATTATTAATACATTAATTATTAATACCATAATTAATAATCAATTATATTCACACCAATAATTAGTATTAATATGAAATATTCCTTATTAATATTCCCATACCACTTTATTTATAAAGCACTTAAAACAGCTACAAGGCCAGCCAAAGTGCTGTACAGACAGAACAACAGGTAACACACAAAGAAAATACAAAATGAGGTCAATCAGAATATAGACATAAAAACGATGCAGATAATGACGACAAACCAGTGTGGAGCGTACAGGATCAAAACACAGATCATCTGGTGTTGAAAGATACTGAATAGTAGTGAGTTTTTAAACAGGACTTGAAAACTGAGAGGGAGGGGCCTGTCTGACAAGCAGAGGTAACTCGTTCAAAAGTCTTGTTACTTATTGATATTAAAACATAATTATTAACATAAAAAATTCACAATAAATGTTTATTATTATTACTAAATAATAATAGGTAATAATAGGCACCTTCCATGCACGTTGAACCAAAATGGCTCCTGACATTCCTCAGTTTCTGTGAAGAGTTTTCTCCCATTCATTTCCTATGGGAAATTTGGCGTCTTTGTTAGCCAAATAGGTCGCCATGGTAACTGCGAATGCCAATGCAAGTAATTGCACACTTCCCGGAGCTGGGCCAGTTGTTTTAATATAACTTTGGTGGAGGTCCACGTTGCAGTTCAGGCCACATTAAAGTTGAAAAAGATACGCTTTTCAGGTGTAGAATAATAAGTGGGCAGTCACCAGCTAGTTCCTGGAGTTGGTGAACTATTGTGTCTTTGTTCACAAATTACATCGCCATGGTAACTCGAAATGCCAATAAAAGTAATAGCACACATCACGGGGCGAGACAGACATTTAGATATAACTTTTGTGGGGTAGGTGCTGTGGTTCAGGCCGCATTAACGGAGAAAGAAATGTAGACCCACTTCAGAGGTGTAGAATAAAAGGTGACTTAGTATGACTGAAAATCAGGGTTTTAAAGTCAAGACCGTAAAACATGAAAACTTTACATTCAGGATTTCAGCAGTGACATTTATAACTGTTAAAGATCATCTATTAAAATTACATCTGGTCCTCTGGACATTCAAAAAAACTAAAAGCAAAACAAAAAATGTAGAAACGTTTTGTCTTCCATCCAGAAGACTTCCTCAGTCTGAGGTGCTGTATTCAGCTCAGTCTCTTAAATAGCACCTTCTCAGAGTGGATCAACCAGTTTGCTGCTGACAACCAGAACCAGCTGATCACATGCTCAAGAAGGACCATCAGCCTAACAATGGATCATTAGCACCTGATGGCTGTTTACTGTTCACAGAGAGCTGAGTGATACTAGCAATCACAGCATTGTAAGAGGGGGACAATTGAACACGGAGGCTCCGCCCCTGTTTAATGATGGACGGTTTCTTTTCACAAAGATGGCCTCCTTTACTCCTCTCTCAAACCATCGTTCCTCTCTGTCCAGGATGTGAACATCTTCATCCCTGAAAGAGTGACCTCTGACCTGGAGATGAGTGTAGACCTCAGAGTCCTGGCCTGATGATGTTGATCTTCTGTGCTGGTCCATCCTTTTGGCCAGTGGCTGTTTAGTTTCCCCGATGTAAGACTGATCACAGCCCTCCTGACACTGAACAACATTGTAGACATATGCTGATATATTCATAACTTAAACGGATTCTTTCATTTTTCTGGACTGAATAATAACGTGCATTGAATTTAATTAAATGTGGACGGAAACGTGTTTATCTTTGACTCACCAACGACAGTGGGTCATTTATTTAAAAACGATTTAAACACATCACACATTTACATTAATTTGGCAAAATATGAAAATAACGTGGCTAATTTAGCAAGCTGTACAATTTTATTAACCATACGGCGATGGTTGAAAACTTCACAACAAACATTTCTGGAAATATCTGGATTAATTTGCTAGCAGATAGAAGAGTTTAAAGATGGAAAGATGAAGTTTAGAGGGAGGGAGATGGTGTGTGTGTGTGAGTGAAAAGTGTTGAACAGAACGGCACCCTCCATTCGACCCAGCTTTCCTCGATACGCTCGGTAGTTAACTCGACTCATTACCTCTCTGACGATGAATCAGTGGAAGCGGAGCTCCAGTTAAGCTACCGGTCCAGCGTCTCCGTAGGATGGCAGAGAACCGTCCGGAGTGGTGGCGGGACTTCATCAACAACAGTTCACCTCACGAGTGGACTTCACATGAGTGGAGTCCTTCAGAAGTTCCACTCAGAGGTGGAAAATGTCATAATCCCCACAAGACTCGGAAGAGCTCTGGATCATGTCAGGATTTTCCTGTTTTCCCAGCACTGGAGCTGCAAACGACTGAAGCCGGAGCCTGAAGCGACTGGGGCTCTGCAAACTCTCCACCCGACTCGACTCCTCAAAACTGGTTTGAACTAGGAAGTACCGACATTTAAACAGCTCTATTTCCGGTTCACTTGGGAGTTTCCTGATTGGTCGTTTCGACCAGACAGGGGTGTGTTTTTGTGACGTAAGAGGTCACTAGAAGTCAGAAAAACAGCAAGAATGTTATGGAACAGATTGAAAATGTTTTTAGAGACAGAGAGAGAAATATTTAGGCGAGTTGGGGGAAAAACAGGTGCCAGCCTCTATATTTACGTCTGAGAGGATTTAAAACAAGACAGTTCGTTCCAACAACTTGTTTTGCGTTTGACTCCAACCTTGGACCAACTTACACTTGCTCATTCAAAGACAGAAAATCAGAAAATGCATAATTACTCTGTAACAGACCTCAACATGATTTCCACTTTGCATGAGGATTAAAAATCATTATTACTGTTTCACAGTTAATTAAAAATGATTAGTTCACTGCAACATTTAAAAATGGTTTGAACTAAACACACTTTGATTATCAAACATTTGTAAAATAGTAATGATAATAGAAAAGAGAGTGTTCTTTCAATTGATCAGTGCAGGACACTCGGAAAGTCTCTGGATGAACGTTATCTTGTGATTCTGGACTCAAATCAATGAAATACAGTTCTTGTTCCAGGCAGGCCCCTCAAGGCCAGATTTGACCTGAGGCCTAGTTCACTACAACATACACAACATTACTCTGTTTGTGCCGGGGGACTGGATCTTTGGGATGAACCAGTCTTTAATGTATTTTGGGGTTTAAAAGCCACTGGGACGTTATGTTTAGAAAATAAACGTCTCAGTTTCTCTGATACTCCCTCAACATATGGAATGACCACTGGTCTGGGTCTGGGTTCCTCCTTTTCACCTGATGGCTGACTGGAGTCCTGTTTGGGTTTCTTCTTTCAGGAAGGCCCAGTTAGGATATCCACATTGCTTTGTTTTTTTGAATGTCCAGAGGACCAGATTTAACTTTTTTAGTTTAACTCATGATTATAACTTTAAATCATTCATATTTTAACTCACGATTATAACTTTATATCATTCATATTTTAACTCATGATTATAAATTTAAATCATTCATATTTTAACTCATTATTATAACTTTATATCATTCATATTTTAACTCATGATTATAAATTTAAATCATTCATATTTTAACTCATGATTATAACTTTAAATTATTCATATTATAACTCATGATTATAACTTTATATCATTCATATTTTAACTCATGATTATAACTTTATATCATTCATATTTTAACTCATGATTATAACTTTAAATCATTCATATTTTAACTCATGATTATAACTTTATATCATTCATATTATAACTCATGATTATAACTTTATATCATTCATATTTTAACTCATGATTATAACTTTATATCATTCATATTTTAACTCATGATTATAACTTTAAATCATTCATATTTCAACTCATGATTATAACTTTAAATCTTTCATATTTTAACTCATTATAACTTTAAATCTTTCATATTTTAACTTTAAATCTTTCATATTTTAACTTTAAATCTTTCATATTTTAACTCATGATTATAACTTTAAATCTTTCATATTTTAACTCATGATTATAACTTT